AGACCTTTTTAACTACACCACTAGATGGCAACAAGTAACTATATTGGTTAAAGGAGAGAACAGGGTAATAGAAGATGCGTGAATGTCCAATTACAGAGATACAGTAGGGTCACTAAATCTGACAAAGCAGCATAACATGTTACCAAAATATTTACCCTCCTCTATTTCACACAGAATGGCTTTAATGTTACCCAGAATCATTCAGGTGATGTCTGACCTCATCTGTCTTATATCTTAGAAAGAATTTTGCTTTCTGTGAACAACTATAGATACACAGAAGGGTCATGGAATCTGTCAATGCAGCAAAACAGGTTACTAAAATCCTTTACCCCTCTCTTATTTCACGCAGAATGCCTTTAATGTCACCCAAATTCCCCATGGTGATGTCTTAACTCCTGTATTCTACCTGTACCTGTATTCTAGAAAACATTTTTCTCTTGAACAGGCAAATGCCTAGGTCACTCAATCTGACAAGACATTATGAAAGGTTACCAAAATCTGTTACCCCTCTCTATTTCACACAGAATGGCTTTAATGTTGTTACCTAGATTTATTCTGGTGATGTCTAATATTCTCTTTCATACCCCAGAAAGCATTTTCCTCAGATGTGAACAGACACAGACCATTACAGCAGGTTCACCAAATCCGACAAGGCAGCATTAGAGGTTACCGATATCTGTTACACCCTGTTGTATTTTACACAGAATAGCTTTATGTTACTCATTTTACCCTGGTGATGTCTAACCTCCTCTGTTTTACGCTAGAAAGCATTATGCTCTGATGCGAACAGCTGCAGAGATACAGCAGAGTCACTGCATGAATCCGACAAGGTAGCATAAAAGGTTACTGAAATCTGCTACTCCTCTCTATTTCACACAGAATGGCTCTAATTTTACCTGGATTTATGCAAGTGATGTCTAACCTCATCTGTTTTATATACTTGAAAGCATTCTGCTCAGATGTGAACAGCTGCAGAGATAAAGCAGGGTCACAAATCTGACAAGGCAGCATAACAGGTTACTGAAATCTGTCACCCTTCTCTATTTCACATAGAATGGCTTTAATGTTACCTGAATTCATTCTGGTGATGTCTTCCTCCGTTTTAAATCCTATAAAAACATTTTTCTCTAATGTGAACAGCTGCGAAGATACAGCAGGGTCACTAAATCTGACAAGGTAGCATAATAGGTTACTGAAATCTGTTTCCCTTCTCTGTTTCACACAGAATAGCTTTAATGTTACCTACATTTTCTCATGATGCATGTCTAACTTCCTGTTTTATATTTTAGAAATCATTTTTCTCTGATGTGAACAGACAGACATTCAGCAGGGTCACTGAATCCGACATGGCATAATAAAAGGTTACAGAAAACTTTTACCCTTCTCTATTTCACACAGAATGGATTTATTGTTACCCAAATTCACCCTGGTGATGTCTAACCTTTTCTGTTTTATATCCTTGAATGCATTTTGCACAGATGTGAACAGCTTCAGAAATACAGCACGGTCACTGAATTCGACAATGCAGTATAACAGGTTACTGAAATCTGTTACCACCCTTTATTTCACACAGAATGGCTTTAATGTTACCCAAATTAACTCTGGTGATGTCTAATCTTTTCTGTTTTAATATTCGTAAAAGCATTATGCTCTGATCTGAACAGCTGCTGAGATACAGCAAGGTCACTTAATCCGTCAATGCAGCGTAACAGGTTAGCAAACTCTCTCTATTTCACACAGGATGGCTTCAGTGTTACCCAAATCAGTCATGTCTAAATTTCTGTCTTCTATATTTTGAACTGATATGAACAGCTACAGGTCGTCAAATCTGACAGGTCATTAAAGGTTACCAAAATCTGTTACTACTCTTTATTCTTGAATATGTGGCTATTGTTCACTAAATTCATTTAATCTTTAATACTGCTTTGTTGGATTTGGGGACAGTGCTGTGTGTTTGTCTGTGTTCACATCAGAGCAATCAGACCAAAATGCATTCTAAAATACAGAAGACAAAGATTTAGACATCACCAGTGTGAATTTGATGCACATTACAGACAAAATACTACTACTACTAATGATAATAATTATCAAAATATTGTAAAATAAAAATTAAAACTCAATAACATTCGGACTGACTGGATTGCTTTTTTTAATATTAATGTATTTGATGCATAAATAACGATCAGAAAGGTAAAACACAAACAGAAAAAATGCAATAATGATGATATAGCAAGCAATAGCACTCAGACACCTAGTCTAAAAGATTATTTCTTGAAATAAGTGAACCTGTTTTACAGCACCTCTCATTCATTGCAGCTTTTTAACATTTAATGAACTGTGACCTCCAGGACACTGATTTCACCTGGCTGACAAAATTGACAATGAACACAACATTTACACATTAACAATAATAATAAATGTGCTTCCTGCTGAAGCCCCTGTTAGTCTTTTTATAGAAACTTGCAGTTGACCATGGTAACCTGGTTCTTTCAGAAGCTTTTAAAATAATGAGCTTTGGTTAAGTGCTAATAGTCCATTTTATAGAGACCTTATGCAAAACCAGAACAGATTTTTATTAAGTAATGTAGCAAATCAGCTCATGGAAAATATGAATAATTAACCATAACTAGTTATAATTAACTATTCATATTTTAGATCCACTGTAGATATTTAGCTGACCACTCAGGGTCAACCGTCTTGTCAATTCTAAGAACGTTAATTTCCTGGTTAAAGGAAATAACTTTCTTACTGTACAATTCTATAAGTTTGTAACGTAAATCTGCATGATTATTGACTCCGGTTATGAGTAAACAATGAACACGCCAAGTGTGATACAAGTAAGGTTTTATTAACTACATAAAAACTTAAACTAGTCTAACATACTACACAAACACATTAAGGTCTTATAATTACCTCTGTTTCAAAGCATCAATTTGTCTAACTGTCATCAGATCCACAATATAGTTGTTTATTCGCTGATATGACCATGAAGTCTTACCGGTGCATCCATTTATACAAATTTAACATTTATAATACAGTACTTTTAGAGATCAAGGTGTATCATCATTGATCATAGTTACTCTAGTTGTCTGCAGCACAGACTGTCTAAGTAGCCTATATTCTCATTCTACAATACTGTAAATGATAAAAAAATATTTATTTATCAAAATATTTGTCATAAATCACTGTTTCAGTTTACTTGTTTTTTTTTATGTAATAAATGATTTGGTATTAATTAAACTGTTCTGAAAAGATGGTACTTCGTCTTCTGATTTAATGATTTCATTGTTTAACTGAATTAGCATTATTTCTTGAATTAATCCTAAATTATAATTGTAGCACCACTTTCCATTTTCTAGAACCAATTTAATACTGATTTATATATACAGTATTATAATGTAATAGATATAATATAATAATTTCAAGTAATCTGTTAAATGATTACTGATGTATCTACACATGAAAAAGGCACCCATAAACATTGTGCAAAATCTCTGTTAAAATATGATACTGTTGTGTAGCGAATTTAACTCATGGGGAAATATGAATAATTAACCATAACTAATTATGATTAATTATTAATATTTTAGATCCACTGTAGATATTTAGCTGACCACTCAGGGTCAACCGTCTTGTCAATTCTAAGAACGTTAATTTCCTGGTTAAAGGAAATAACTTTCTTACTGTACAATTCTATAAGTTTGTAACGTAAATCTGCATGATTATTGACTCCGGTTATGAGTAAACAATGAACACGTCAAGTGTGATACAAGTAAGGTTTTATTAACTACATAAACACTTAAACTAGTCTAACATACTACATAAACACATTAAGCCGGTCTAACATACACATACACACACACACACATACAGTTGGTATAGGAAAGGGTTAAAGTTTAGCACTAAAGAAAGAGACATAAGGAATGACATTTATGGAACCATTTTTGCATATTCAGCAGATCTAAAACCTGAGGGAAAACGTCAGATTCTTAGTTCAAACAAACCTTGCAAAAAGGTGTAACTGATACTTAATGCATCAATTAAATCGACTAAGTTTGATACTTGCGTATGTCTGAAAAAGATTCCTGATGCAATCTTAAGGCCCCAAGATCTTGCTGAAGTTGGTTGATGAAAAAGAGCTAGTTTGAGTCAGAATCACTTGATGAATGAAAAGGACTAGGCCGGAGCCTGGCACGAGCTTTGGTATCCTGGAGCGTTTCTCACATCTTCATCTTAGCATCTCACTGAACCACCGAACAGAGCGGGTCCCTGGAGCCGGGCCTTTAAGGTCGGAGAAGATCTCCGCCTTTCAAGATGGGCTTGTCCAATGAGCACAATGGAATTCCCGAGCGAGAGGTGGCAATTGCTGGAGGGTTTACGACCCCTTTGTTCTCTAAGCATGGTAATTTGCAAATGGACTTAAATCGAAATTACTAACGATTCTCAGGGCCCTAATATATATTGCCTATGTACCACCATATAATATCCACGCTTGTTTCGATCATAAGAAGGCAAATTCATAGATACTAGACATGAAATAGTTACTTATATGAATGAGTGGTTTATCGTAAGCATGAATAAAAATAGTCTATAATACAACAGATTAAATACAACACAGCAATAATATACACAATGGCCTGAAGAAAATGGGTGTTCATTCAAAGAAGGTTTTCCTATGAATTAATTAGTAGAAAAGTCAGTTTCTCCTGTGCATTTGTGCCTTTCTTATGAGGAAAATGAGGGAGTTTATCCCCTGCATTCCTTTTAGGCCATAAAACCAGTGATATCAGCATTGGTTACCATGGAACCAGAGGCCGGTTCTGCTTTTCTGAGGTGTTAGGTGCATTTCGGGGGAAGGGTCCATAGACCCTCGTAATTGGCCATTTGGTTAGGTGATGGGGAGTTCGATATTATTTGTTAAATATAACAAAAAGTTGTGTGTCTGATTGGTCCAAATGCTACAGTTGTCTATATGTACAGTATTTATGTAATACGGTCTTAAAAATATTTTTTTAGATTGTAGATATAGATTTGTATTATTTTAAATGTTACTAGCGCAATAACCTTTACCACGTTTGTCAAATAGCACCAGCCTCTGTAACAAAGTTAAAGATGGTCAGACACACAGGACGCTCCAGTATTGGATCATAAAGATAAACCAAGGTTCCTCCTGAAGTGCCATGTAAAACTGTTAAAAATATATTACAAAAAAAGAGTAGCAAGAAATTACATCTAATTGAATAGACACTGTTACATATAATAGACACTGTTACATAAGTCCCTGCTGTCCATAGATTGGCTCTGCTTAACCTTCTGACTTTGCCTGAATAAGGTAACCACTAAATGTAATGTAGGTGTCAAAGTCATCGCTGAACACAGCGTTCTCTCTTTCGCCCTTATAGAGCCGAATCCATACCTGGTCGTCCCTCTCCAGCTCCAGCATGAGGCTCTGGCTCTGCATGATAGAGCGATCGCTGGGCTGAGTGTACAATATGGCCATCTCCTGTTCGTTCTTCATCATGTGCAGGTACGTTTCCTTTTGGTTCCAAGTGTGCGCATTTAGGCTGAAGAAATAGATGCCGGGGACATAGCAAAAGAACTTGCCCGTGAACATGTTGAAGTGGCCATACAAGTTGACAAACTCTGTGTCAAAGATCATGGTCTGGTAGTAATCATTACTGTGTAGGGCCTTCTTGCGGCCCACAGAGAAGGCAGCGTAGTAGGACTTACAGGGTTCTCCAGGAGAACCAATGCTGCCCTTGTTTCCCTTCACGCCATGGGGCCCTCGGGGTCCGGTTTGCCCAGACTTGCCTGTTTTCCCATAAAGTCCTCGCTCACCAATGTCTCCCTTCTCCCCTGTAAGGGAAGGAATGCAATAGCGAATGGTGAAAAGTTCAATTTGGTTTTAAGTTTTTACTATGATCGTTAAAAATGCATTTACATTCTTAATCTCTGATTTATCATGTCTTGCTTCCTGAAACTTCATGTTCTGGTCAAGCTTTGGAGGGTGTTTTATTAAACATCAAATAATTAAAAATGATGATTCTCAAATGGTCTTGTTTGTGTGAAGTGAAGATTGGAGTTTTGTATTATGGCACCAATCTCACAGCCATTTTTCTTCTGTTGTTTGTGACAGTTTGGCCCATAAAGTCACTTTCTGTGGTGGTTTGTCCTTTTTCCTGCCCACAGAAGCAGCCTGTGGTTAACCAGACCTGACCTATATCATTCACAGACAGTGAGATATTTAGCTAAGACTAACATTGACCCAAACAACTGTATACAGTCAAAGTGAGTCAACAGATTATGTAAGTCGTTCTGTAAATGTAAGCTTTTCTACCACGATTACCCTTAAAATGGAAGAGGTTTACCTTGTAAGTTGCATATTTTCAAAGCCTGAAAATATTTGAAGTAGATTTTGACATATGTTGTACCTTTTAGGATGGTGATGTTTATCTGTGGCACAATATTGTACTGTGGATATGGACTGGCATACTGTGGGGCCTCCTCTGCAGGGTCACAGCACCGCCTGCACTCAGTTCCACTAGATTCACAAGAGGATATATTAGATAGACAGACAGACAGACAGACAGACAGACAGACAGACAGGCAGGCAGGCAGGCAGGCAGACACAGACACAGACACAAACAGACCAGGGAAAGTACCTGCCATCTCTGTAGTATTCTGGGGATCTCTGGTTTTCTCTGGGTTCATATGTGTCCTGATCTGCATCCCGGTATTGTGCAATGTACGGCTCAGCCCATTTGGCAAACACCACCATCAGTAGTACCAGGCTCGACACCAGCATCTGAGATGAGAATTAACTCATTATTTGGATAAAAGTTGAAAACTGGCATAATTATAAAACTGTGATACTAATAAAAAATGTTTGTCAATAATAAGAAATGTCAGCATATTATAATGATTTCTGAAGAACACTGAAGACTCAAGTAATGTTGCTGAAAATTCAGCTTTGCCATCACAGGAATAAATTACATTTAAAAAGAGAAAACAGTTATTTTCAAATGTAATAATATTTCACAATATTAATGTTTTTACTGTATTTTTGATCAAATAATTGCAGACTTAGTGAGCATAAGAGAATTCAAAAACATAAAAAATCTTTCTGTCCCTAATCTTTTGAACAGTAGTGTATATATCTAGATTTCAATAACAACAAAATCAGTTATAATAAATTAATATGAATAAAGAAAATATGTTAACTGAACAGGAAAATCAACACTTTAACATCAAGGGAACTAAAAAAAAATATTACTTATAAGTGTACTACAGAAATAGTATGCAAGCACTTAATTTTAAATTACTTTGAGCACAATTATTAATCTCTGCACATTCATGCTACCTCAAAGGTCACATAAATAAATCTTTAGGCCTTGTGCTGTTGGATGGTAAGGGTCATAATGGGAGCACTGTGTTATAACATGACAGTATCATTCTTGAGGTTATGTATCAGCAAATGACCAGCTTTGTTATTCAGCCTCTTGTGTTTGGCTTATGATAGCAACAAAAAAATTGTTTTCGGGTTAAAGCTAGGTAGAAATCCATCCATTTTTGTGGAGTTTCATAACCAACAATCAGGTGATGAAAGCTAATGGAAGGTTTACACAACATTTTGTGTGAATTGAAATTCTCTGTTATAGGAAAACATGAAAACATGGCCTGAAAAGTTATGAAACCAATGACAAAGATGTCTTGGAATTGATTGCTCTATTTTAAATCGGCAATCACACTAAAACACTATTTCATATTTTTTCCTTCTCATGACACCACGGCTCAGCCCATTTGAAACTGGGTTTGCAAACCATGAGGCAGAAAGGCATCTAATGATCAATCATTATCAGAAAGTATTACACTTAATGAAACAAGACTTGAGCCAAAAATTCACTTCAACTGAATAGAAAGTCTTTTAAGGCCAGTTCTGTCTCCGTCCTTCCTTAGTCTGTTGGTGTGGTATATAGCTTTTCCAGTAACAAGATACTTTTTATAACAAGTAGCAGCTAGTATAGAGTGAACGCTTTGATGTTGTTTTTCACATACAATTCTTTTTTTCATATGTAGCACTGGTAAGTGATTTAAATTCATTTTCAGGTTCGTTCAGCTAGTTCATTTAAATATTTGCAGGGGCATTTACATTTTTATTGTCAGATTGAAATATTTAGTTAAATGCTGCTGTTCATAACTATGTTTTTGAGTCAGTTAAATAAGGTAGGGTTTTTGCTGGTTTAATTAGTTACATTTGATGTATCTGTTCAAGTTTAAGGCTGTCACTCTTGTCATTGTGATAGTTTTATCCTACACTAACAGCAAGTAGTAGCCAACTACTTTTAAATGGTTAGCTACAGTATACGAGTAGAAAATCAGATCTGATCAACTGCTTCAAAAATTACATTATTACATTATCACATTATCCTAATTGTAATTCCCTTCATTGCTAGCTGTCTTCCCATTTCTGTGCTTGAGAACATACTGAAAAAAGAAATTCCACAAAGTTGAAAAAGAGCCCACATATTTTGTGAGGTAGCTGCAGCTAAATGCTCGGCTATCCAAAATACTTAACAACCCATACAAGCACCAGTCAAGGCCAGCATGTGTTCCAAAAGCTTAATCTGGTGAGAGTCAAAACACATCTACTTATAACAGATTACAAATATTGTGACCATCAACATTCTTCTATAAAAACAGTTAGTCCATAAGGAATGTAATTATGATCATAAACAGCTATCCCTATACCATGGCCTGAGTAGTTGTCTTTTTTCCACCATGAAGATTTCAGGATAAAATGTGTATGCACTGTATATATGAGGCCCAACAGTCTAAAACCATATTGAAAATTTAAAATCTCATTTAAACTTGGTAATAAACTAAATTATGTTCCATTTTGTGTTTGACACACTGACTAAATTTCTTATTGTGGAATAATTATGGTAAGATCAACAATAAACAAAATAAATAATGATTGTTTTATGGAGTAGAAGCATCTTGATATGCGTACAAAATATACAATTTAACAGCAAAATACCAACTTTAGATTACAGGCTGTCATCATATTAGTTTTGTAGTGTCCAGCTGTGCAGTGTAGCTGCACTACAGGAAATTTTGACGCGCACAAAATAATTGCACAGTAGGTCACATAGTAGCATAAAAACATGCTTTTGGTTTCATGGTCTGTGATCATTGATATTGTTTAATAATGTTTTGCAGAGTGTTTGGCCTATATAGATAGCATGGGAAATCCAGTTATTATCAGTGTAAACATGTTTCATTCTTTATTTTTTAGGGTTTTTGAGCCGAGTGCTATATATTTTGATATGGTCACTCACATGATCATCCAGCCCTCAGCCTAGTATGTTGACTATGCACAATCCAAACATGCCATAAAGTATTTACAATTATAGACTGCACATAATACTGAGATGAGTAAGGTTTTCTGGGGCCCACCGCACTGCAGTAACCCCTTTCTAATCATGAGGTTGAGGAATGACGTGCTGCATCCCACTATTTAATAAATTCACACAGATGATGCCTGTGTCCTGTGTGTATCTGTGTGTTTTCGAGTGATGCTTAATGTAAGAAGAGGTCAGATCACTCACTGCAGTCTGAAGTTCAAAGCAGTTTTAGGGCAGCACTTTGAGGTTGTGTACTTCTAATCCTCCATAAGCTTATGATGTGTTCACCTGGGTATCATCTGACCATCTTTTTTTGTAGTGTAAATTGTGGCATATGCTGTTTGCAACCCAGTGTAAATGCTACTATGGACTAGTCATTATATCAAAATAAACCACTTAAGGTTAATTTTATTTTTTTTTATCTTTTATCCCATTTCTTCACATTTTTTTCCATAGACTGGTTCCTGTATTTTAGGCTTCAAATAATTGGTAGTCAATCCGTTCAAAAGGACTGCTTTATATTATTTCCCTTTTTATCCTCATTTTCATGCTCAGCCATGTTTACAGTCCCACATCTGATATCCTGGCATGAGAATCCCTCTCCTTCCTGCGGATGTTGGGGTCTTGAGGTCATGTTTACATGTTCAGCACATCACTGTGTACTTCTTTAGTTCAGGCCCAGTCTTCTTGGCTCAATCAACATCTACCCTGACCTTTTTAAACGCATTACATAAGCGGAGAGTGTTTTTTCTCCCATGCTCCAAATCATACTTTTCAGTCCCTGATCCCTCTGTAGGGCTGAAACTATGAACGGTGAGCCAAGAGTCAAATGCATAAACATTTGACTGCTTTCTTTAGTCATATACCATAAACGGATTTGGCCGTTGAAGCCTTGTTGTAACAAAAATGAAGTATCTCAGTCACATGAAATCACAGTTGGCCCTATTTACTTTATAAACGTACATTGCTGGTAGTATTTTGAATGTTTAATTGAAGCATTTTACGTGACACCTCAAACTTTAATCAAAATTTAATAACTTGCATTTTACTGTTTGAAAAAACTGTGTTTAGAGCAAAAAGATTCCAATTCCGTTTGGTGCCACTAGTGGTCCAGAAATTACACCCTTCCCCTTTTTGAAATAATCATGATAATAAACTACTTGGTAAACATCATTAAAGGAAATAATGTAGGTTTTTCCATCTTCCCACATTCCTAAACCGCAAACAGCCACTGAAAGTGTCATAACAATTAGCCATTGTGTTATCACGACAGATCATAATAACTATTTACTAAACTGCACTATGCTTTTTGTCATCCCTACACAAATCCGCAGGCATGCAGTGGCGTGTCTGATCTATGAGGTGTGGCTTTGGTGGATTTTCTCAGTGGAAAACAAGTGTGTGGTCTCGGGTCAATGACCCTGCTGAATCCAGCTTCAATAAAAGTCGGCCAGTTCTTTGTCCTTCTACTTTGGTGTTTGGTTCTGGATCATATTCAAGGTGAGGCCCACCAGGTGCATTGTAACGCTTTTCTAAATTCTCCAGTCTGAAGCCAACAGCTGAAGATAAACACTGGGGTAAATAAGGACTCTTTGGCTACAGAAATGAGGTACTGTCTCCGTTTGTGGGTTTGGGTGTGTGACCATACGTACCCCAGTGACCTACTTTCAACCACATACTGAATACTCTGTGCTTCTGTCACTAGTCATGCACAGTTGAAGCCCCCATAGGCAAGGTTCAATCTACCATGTACCCTTTCCTCCTGTACATTCTTGGACCAACCTGCTGCTGTTCTCACATTCATAGTCTTCCCAGTTCTTTGCAGCTGTTTTCTAATATAAATTCTTCAGAGGAAGTTGAATGAACCTCAGGGAATGAAAGTGAACTTGATATGGTCTATTAACAAAGTAAACTTATATCTTATTAAAGCAACAGTCTTCTTTGCCTTCTGAACTTACAGTTTGTTCATTCAGATGCTAGTGCTATCAGAAAAGACAAACACAGCTGGTCTCAAGTAATTTGAGTGTAAAAAAAGTAATTTTTTTGAGAGAGAGAGAGAATATCAAGCTCATATTAACCTTGTGGAAAGACACCAACAGTCTCCCCGGTCCCATTGAGTTATTTTCCCCTCTCCTTTTTTTGAAATGCAGACAAATGCTGGGAGTGAACTTCAACAATGTTGTCGGTTTGCAAACAAAGTATTGAATAACATCACGTACCTGTACCAACAAGTCCTACCCCTTGTCTTATATGGGAAGGGGATGTACAAAGACTAGATCCTACCTTTTGATTGTTCAGTCTTGGGCATTTAGGTGATGTTTGACAGAAGAAGAAGATGAAAGAGAGTTCAGGATTTGGATTTTCAAAGTAAAGCGACAAATCATGGTTTCAATGTCTTATTGCCTTGACTTGACTTTATAAGCACAATCTTGGGCTGCCATCCAACACAATAAAAATATATCATCAAATACCAAGCTGAATGTAATTAACTGTGCTTGGAATGGAATACTCACTTGCCACTTCCTGAATACTTAGTTTACATTGTATAATGCATACTATTTTAATAAAATAGTATTTGAAACAGTATGCATTATGCAACAACAACATTTCTAAACAGTAGTATGATACATTATCACATTACTTCACATTATACATACTGTATACTGCTGAAACGATAAGAGTATTATGTTAGTGTGCTTTCTGAACTCAAGCTTGAGAGTCCTTGTGGGACGTTTCCCATGTGTCTGCAAAGAAGAATTTCCCCAAACAATTCACACACAGAATCCTACACTACATTGTAATTTCTAGAGGGCTTAACTTTGTTTAGAAATGCCATTAATTTTACTTTAAACTAGCAATAGACACCACTGGGTTTGGTGCTGACATCGAAGCTCAAACAGTATGTGCGGTCACTTTGAAGACATAACACTGAGGCCAGATTCACCCTTGACCCATATAAGCCACTTCGTCTGAACTTAAACATCCTCCATGGTTCAGGAAAAAACATTCATCTTCAACTTACCTTTTGCAATCCATTTTACTTCCACAATGTGATGTATTTGAAAGTGGAAAAAAAAATAAAGATATTGTGGGACTTTTTATCTACTGGTCACTGACTAGAGTGAACCATTCCCTGATAAACCACTGCTCGCTGTCATTAATGTTTTAGGAGGGGCCATATACTTTAAATTATGCAAGAAAAATGTTATGAAGTTTGGAAAATTTGGTGTGGTTAAAAGCAATCTGATGTAGCACTGCTCTTAATCGTGTCATATTTCGACTCTGTCCCAACTTGGCTTTGTGATGGCATGCCTCAAGAATTCCTGTCCTAGATTTGGTTCCTGCACCCTGTGGCTGTGCTACTCTTTCCATAGATAATAAAAAAGGTTTCTTTTGTCTCCATGAAATCTACCATGATCCTACATTGCTCATGATTTAATAGATATTCCTAAGGGATAGGGTGGGATCCATCACTAACATAATTAATTACTTTGCAATATTAAAACCACATGAACACCAGGGTGTTGTTTCATTTAATAATTTAACCCAGCTGTGTCTTTCTGCCTTGCACCTGCTATTAAAATGTATTGTTGACTTAACAATCTTGACATTGCTGCCAAACCTCAAAATAAAACACCTATGTCCCTAAGCATTTCAGTGAGTGAGCAACCAACAACAGATAAAGTGAAATAATTTGATAAGTCAGACAAAAAAAAATGTGAAAAACACATAAATCTGGCTGTTATTGTCCAAGCATGTTGTTTTGCACTAGGATTCCGTTTCCTTGGCATCTTGAAAAGTTTTCACATCATTGCACTTGCCATTATGTGTAACCATGTCATTTGTTTTTCAAAGATGAGCTGCTTCCATTTACAAAAAAGTAAATGGCATTCAGTACTAGTGTACATTTCTAACCCAAAACATCCTGATGCGTCCCCTACCTTTATCTTGGCAGGTCCAAACATAAGGGTCCACAGAAGCTCTGCTGGGCTGCACTGAGGATGCTTGCGTTGACTGGGCCGCACTGCTCTGTCTCTCTGAGAGTGTTATAGCCTGTCAGCGTTTTTAAGGCATCTCCCTCCTGCACTCCCAAACTCAGCATGCCATGAGGAGCCAGGGGAAAAAGTGCAGGAAAGGAGGAGAACAGAGGGAGGAGCATGGATGCATCTAAGAGGGTGGGGTGAAATGAAAACAACAAAAAGGACAAAGTCAAAAGAAAAGAAACCTTCTAAAAAAATGGGCCAGAGTGGACCAAGTGGATAGAGGAAAGTGCACAAGACTGTGGAAAGAATAAAAGAAAGAGAGAAAAGAGCAGTGCCAGATAAGCATTTTAATAACACAATCATTTCAGATAAGATTATAGGACTGTAAAAATAGTAAACCTTAGAAGCATTGTAGGCCTACTATATTGACAGCAAACTGAAATACATTGAAGATTATATTTAATATACATTTTTTTAACCAAGAATCAAGTCTAGAATCCCTGTATCACCAGTTAAAGTTTAATTATAAGTGGTTATACACTGTAGGTCAGTATTTACTACATATTGTATAAATAATTTAAAATGTGTGAATGCAAAGATTACATAATTTCAATATAGGATAATTTGGCTAAATGTTGGACAAAAAATTGGCCTTTTTGTGGCTTTTTGTGGCAAAATCCTCAATCATAATCTGACCATCTCTGTAATTTGGCCAGATTGGCTGTTTTGCCATTGTGCTGTGAAGGGAAAACATCTGTGTGTGTGTGTGTGTGTGTGTGTGTTTGCTTGCCTTATCTAATGTCAATTTTATTTGTTAAAACTATTAAAGTTTTTTTAAGTTTTGCAGAAACATTCATATGTAGGTACAATTTTAATTTGTCTAAAAATATGTGTCTAATTTTAAGTTTTAAAGCCCCAACCTTTGGACCTTTAGAAAAGTTTTTCAACATTAAGGGACACATTTGTCAGCATTAGTATTTGTCTAACTTTTAACTGGTTGTGTATAATTTTTAATGTTGGTTTAAAAAAAAAAGGAGTAGGTGTCAGTGTTATTGATCAACTACCTTTATACTGAGCAACTTTCAGTCAAGGAAAAAAGGATGCTGTTCAGACGTTGTTGGTAATCAGATCCAGACTCTTGCTTCCCATGTTTATAATCTCTGCAAAGTGCTTTTCCTCCCAGTCACCTGATTCATCCTGACATGAGGTGTGTGGTTACTGTTACTAAGAAAAGACCTGATGTTTAAGTTCAAGAACATGCTAAATGGTGCAATGGTAAACATGACTGAGGAAATAGCTGACTTACAAATTGTATATGAAACAGTCTAAGCAAATGGGGTCTGTAAGTACACGAACACAAAAGACTTTGAACTTAAAGGTCATAATTTGGAGGATTTTTTTAGCACTGTGAATCTAGATATTGTCCTACATGTATTTTCATATTAAAACATCACACAGAGAAATATCAAGCTTGCAAAATATGTTTTAAAAAATGGCACAATACTGACCTGTGTTGCCGACAATTTCTTTTTTCCCTGCTCCGTTTGTTTTCTGCTGTTCATATCAAAGACCACTAGATGTCCTCATTAACAAATAAATCTTATTGCAAATACATTGGAAGCGTGATAAATGAATCTATATGGTGTTTATTAATATTTGTATATAATAATGTTGAATATTTATATTATATTTGTTTTTATATCTTGACGTAACTATTTGTATTTTATTATGGGCAAGTAAACATGAGAGGTCACATTAATTTAAACTAGACTGTTAATCTAAAAATAATTCTAAAATCACGCTTTCGGCTCTCCAATATTTTTTTTGTCTTCTTTTTCCTGAACGGGTCTTTGAGTCACTCCGAGATGAGCATTGAAGAACACGTGCAAGACTGTTACGCAATCTGCTGGAAAACATTGCAGCCATGTGACCATGTCCTGATTGGATCCTGTGTGACCAAGCGAAAGAACGTCCGCCAATCAGCGAGCGGGTGGGCGTGACCAGGACCCTGCAAACTCTTGAGAGGGTACAAGATGTATACAGTACTGTTCCACTACTGTCCCACTGCCTTGATTATTAGGAAGCTCCCCCGGTCAATGGACAGTCAGCTGGACAGCCATAAGAGCAAAACAGATGGAGCACGTCTTACAGACATGACGCATTGTTTTAAGATTTTAAGCCTAGTGTTTTTCCAAAGCATTTACGATTTGAAATTGTAGGTCTGTTGTTGGACCGAAATATGCGAAGCCATTTTTCTATTTTTCATATTATGTTTCTTATTATTATTTATATTTATAGTTATGTTACTAGTATTTTGTTTTATTATTCTTATTTGAAACCAGTAGTAAGTAATCGAACAGTGATTGGCGTTTATAGAATAAAAATGTACGTTGAAAAATTGGAATACACACTAATAAATGCAAACTACTGTCTATCCAGTTAATACTGCATGCCAAATGCATAAAAGTGAATTCGACAGAATAAATACTTGTTAGTTCATCTTTAAGGAGCACACGTTAAAACTGCTGGCTAATGCACATCACTTAATAAGATCTATCTGGGACGAACGTATAAAGATGTCCATAATAAATTAATTGGTGTTCGAGACAGTTAATGAGACTGACCTAAAGAAACCCATCCAGCGTTGCTCCCACGTGACTGTGGCGAGCGAGGCGTTGCCAAGGGGAAGTGAGGTCACGGCGCTACGTTCGCGTTCAGCACAGCAGATACGAGGCCTGTGACAAGCTTCTTGCGACGGTGGTCCGCTCTTAAAATCCACCTCCATCTTCCTTATCCTTAGGGAAAATGGTGACCAAACCGACAGGAGCATAATCTACAGACTCTAAGCTTTCGCCTGATCACAATTCTAAAATCACGCTTTCGGCTCTCCAATATTTTTTTTGTCTTCTTTTTCCTGAACGGGTCTTTGAGTCACTCCGAGATGAGCATTGAAGAACACGTGCAAGACTGTTACGCAATCTGCTGGAAAACATTGCAGCCATGTGACCATGTCCTGATTGGATCCTGTGTGACCAAGCGAAAGAACGTCCGCCAATCAGCGAGCGGGTGGGCGTGACCAGGACCCTGCAAACTCTTGAGAGGGTACAAGATGTATACAGTACTGTTCCACTGCCTTGATTATTAGGAAGCTCCCCCGGTCAATGGACAGTCAGCTGGACAGCCATAAGAGCAAAACAGATGGAGCACGTCTTACAGACATGACGCATTGTCTTAAGATTTTAAGCCTAGTGTTTTTCCAAAGCATTTACGATTTGAAATTGTAGGTCTGTTGTTGGACCGAAATATGCGAAGCCATTTTTCTATTTTTCATATTATGTTTCTTATTATTATTTATATTTATAGTTATGTTACTAGTATTTTGTTTTATTATTCTTATTTGAAACCAGTAGTAAGTAATCGAACAGTGATTGGCGTTTATAGAATAAAAATGTACGTTGAAAAATTGGAATACACACTAATAAATGCAAACTACTGTCTATCCAGTTAATACTGCATGCCAAATGCATAAAAGTGAATTCGACAGAATAAATACTTGTTAGTTCATCTTTAAGGAGCACACGTTAAAACTGCTGGCTAATGCACATCACTTAATAAGATCTATCTGGGACGAACGTATAAAGATGTCCATAATAAATTAATTGGTGTTCGAGACAGTTAATGAGACTGACCTAAAGAAACCCATCCAGCGTTGCTCCCACGTGACTGTGGCGAGCGAGGCGTTGCCAAGGGGAAGTGACGTCACGGCGCTACGTTCGCGTTCAGCACAGGAGATACGAGGCCTGTGATAAGCTTCTTGCGACGGTGGTCCGCTCTTAAAATCCACCTCCATCTTCCTTATCCTTAGGGAAAATGGTGACCAAACCGACAGGAGCATAATCTACAGACTCTAAGCTTTCGCCTGATCACGATATTGTGACATTTCGGACTTTTATATATTAGAAAAGGAATGGTGAAAAGTGAACTCCGTCGGAAGAATCCGAATTCTCCTCAGGGATTCGGGGGGGTTGGGGTCGCGTAAAGATATATAGGATCGTAGCAGTTAAATAACGCGTAAAAAATATTAGCGTAAGCCCACATTGGAAAGCCGACAGAATCTGGTTTAATAGAAATTAGCTGAAATACATTCGAGTTGACTCGTTCGAGAGAAACCAATAAACACAGCGATGGAGCTACGAGTTGGAAACCGATACAGACTGGGTAGAAAAATTGGAAGTGGATCATTTGGAGACATTTATCTGGGTAAGTATAAACTTCAACACACGTATACACTCTTGCCATAAAGCTGTCAATAATATAACACGGCTAACAAGCTGTATTGTTTCATATATCTGTCAACTGTAACTGTCAGTGGCGTTTTGTCCGAAGATTGATTCGTTATAGTCTGCTTATGAGCTCCGTTTCTCAGTCCTTTGGGCATTTATATGAAAACCCGTGTTTTATAACCATGACAAGAACGTATTTCAGACCACAAGTGGTTTATAGAAGTTGCAGAGTAACGTTAGAAAGTTTACGTCCCGTTTCGAACAAGCTCATATAAGTTAGTGGTTTAAACAGTCCAGGATGTCATACGTGAGCATAAAAATATGTGCTTTTGACATTAGACACAGATAGTGACATCAAATATAATACAACACTTGCTGTAAACTGAGGTGTCGTTTCACTGAACCTGTGAACATGAGTTTCCAAACAGGGTCCCTTGTGTGTAACTCTGAATGAATCTTACCTGTCCATACAGGTTTGACTGAAAGCGTGTACCACCCGAATGGCCAAGCCTGACATGTTGAATCCGCCTATGACGCCTGGCTGATGCTTTTGTTTGTTAAAAGTCAGGTCATACTATTAGGGCTCATGATTCATTCAGTCTCATTTTCCTGATCACAGGTTCACGGTGCATTTTGGTTAAACAATTTTGATTGATGCTGTTGTGAAGCAACACAGTCAGGAACCAGAGGAACTCTTTATTTTCATGCTAGGTGGCCTTCATGGTTGAGAGCATCAGTATCACACCAGGATGTTGTTGATCATTTGAGTATCTATGGTTGACATTTAGAGATTGCATTTGTTATAGAGAGCCATTGTTTTGTGCACCAAAGTAGGTCATTGTTTTTCTTTTATACTCTTAACAGGCGTAGCAAGTTGAATACAGGCGTTTTAATTAGTTCAGAGTCTTACCATTACTACTATTAGTACTTTTAACCACCTTAGCATATCATTTTCGACTCGAGCCTGTGATTAAGTGTGTAGAGCAATATGTGACTTTCATCTCTTATTCAGGAGGTATTAAAGAACATTTTCTTCTCGCTGTGGTCTCCTCATCAACAGGGTTCCTCTCACATGGATTGAAACTTGTCAACAAAATGTTTAACTTAATCAAAGCTCCTCCAAAAACATCAGGCTCAAATACGAACAAAGTCTGACTTGCCCACAAACACTTCCGCTAGTTAGTGTGTTTACATTATGTTGAGAAGACGCTGTGTTCAAGGATACCCCAGAAATACAATTCAAACCTTTTGTTGTGTGCATGTCATTTTACCAAGGACGGCTTCTCTAATCTTGGCTTTTATCTTCATTGGCTTCTAATCTTCTTAATTTGGACTAACAAGCTCTCCGAAGCACAACCTGAAAGTACGATTGATACATTATGTGTACATTTTCAATGGAGTGCTCAAAATATCAATTTTTTTGTGCTAATATGTGATGTACACCTGATGCAGCTTTAGGTTTCCAGGTAAAGCACGATATTACTGTCTTACTAATAATTCGCTGTGAACCCACTATTTTCTAAGAATGTGTCGATTTAATGTAGACTGACGTTGTTCTAATTACTTCGTTTAATAATAAAGAATGTAGTGTAGTGCATAGGCCTGTCACGATAACTTTTTGTTGTGCGATATATTGCCCCAGAAATAATTGCGATAAGCGCTATTATTGTCATTTTTAAGACTAATATATTAATATATAATCATAAATTAACAGCATAATAATGCAAGAAGGCCTACACACTTCCAAATAACAACAGACTTTTAATTTATAAGAATATTTAGATCATGGAAATTAAGTATCAAAATATTAGATGAATAAATGGTAAATAAACATTTTCTAACAACAAGTGCAAAGTAACAAGTAGAAAAATGCACAAAGGACTTGTATGGAGATTTTTTCATCTACAGATTATTCCCTGACCGTTTTTCTCTGTAAATTAAAGGTGCACACTATTGCTGAAAAACACAATCACTTCTTAGCAGTCAGATGTCCGTATGCACAAAAGCGCAGATCCCTAAACAAGACCATATCTGCAGATGAAACTTTGTTTGTAGAAGCATTTTTATAATTTGAACTAGCACCTCGTGACTACACCACGTTATGTACGAGAAGCTGCAAAAGACACAGGCGCAAGTGGAATGTACATAACTAATGTAAATATATTAAATATATAGCCCTAAATATAATTTAGCGATATTGCGTCACCAAAAATTGAGGTCATGTACATATATTGCACGATAAGTCGATATATTGATTATTGCGACAGGCTTAGTAGTGCACAGACTTTATAATCATTGTGAAATTTCTGTTTATTTTGACGTATCCGCTAACATATCCACCATTATTGTTTTAAGTGTTCACAGTATAGCAGCTAAACTTTACCTGTGGGCATTCGCTTGCATAAGTGTTTTGTATTTTGTCATTATTATAAGAACGGATTGGAGCACTATATTATTGTTTTATGCAAAGGTGCTTTGTCAATGGTAGTGCTCGCTAACTTGCTCAAGGACTCCTCTCTGTGCCAATCACAGCAGGCTTGGCCAGCTGACCAATCAGAGCAGAGTAGGCTTATGGAAGGGAGGGTTTGCTCCGAACTTGCTTGGAATAAACTGTTTAGAAATCATTGGCAAGTGACTCCAATATTAAATTTAATTCTGTTGTAGGGGACTCCAACACAACATTAGGACACTTTAAAATACCATATGACCTGCTCTTTAAAGTGTGGGGAGACCTTTATCCTGAAGCTTTCTGGCTGAGATGGGATTGTTTCAGTCTGTCCGTGTGTGAGAAAAGGGCTGGTGGGTGTGGTGAGATTGTAAACTCCATCTGCTCAGTTGTGTTTCATAACTGCACCCACTCTTTGGTACGTTAACATAATTGTTTTTTGATTAATTTCTAATTGTCAGGTGTGATCAGAGGCAGTGCTACTGAAAGATCTTCAGCACATGACTTTGTGTGAATTGCATACAAATCATCTGCCATGTCATTGGCATTAGAGGCTTAGAAGATCAAACCCAACCTGATTGGACTAGTTACATCATGTTACACCGCTTACTGGCCGTACAAATCATCCGACAGTCAGCGTAAATGCAGCACCTCTCCCTTTTTCTTGGGATTCCGTAATGTTTGCATCACATGGAATCATGGGAGGCCTCAGGTATGTGAATTACCCAGGACTGTCCCACTCTTCTACAATTCTGGTTCCTTTCCATCAGCTTTTATGAAACCTCAGAGTGTTTGGATTAATGATGTGATGGTGTTTGTAGGTTTGGACTGGATACAACTCCTGTAACTTACCTTCATCTTTCGAAGCCAAAAATGGAGATCTCATTTAGCTATCAGGCTGCAGTTTGCATTGAACACCTTATCAGCAGTTTAACATCTTTTTCATGTCAGTTTCAAGCACATGGAGTTTCACGTTTGTCCCCAATATGGCCCCATAAAGAGTCAGCTGTTGGATAGACACTTGTTTTTTTTTTTGGTGAGCTCTTGCATAACACACAGCAGAACCACGTTGTTCATTGGCAGAGATGGGCTTGGACCTGCTCCCCATTTGAATGTTTTTCTCGTTTGATCTAAATGTAATCATGGGGTACTGACTGTTTGCACTCTTTGACTGAATTTGTCTAATTTGCTGATTAAGTTGTGTAGACCTGACTTCATGACATGAGTTTCTTTGCTATCAGCTGGGATGAAGATTATCCTGTGTTTGCATTTTAAATAATGTATCTCAGAAACCAGCAGTACAAGTCCTTGAGTTTCTGTTCAGACAACGATGGGTTGTGGTTTGTTTCAAAACTGATTTTTTTTGGCTAGTTGAACACAAATGAAGATATTTTGCAGAATGTCCAGAGTACTCTTACGAATAAAAAAAAAAAAAAAGCCTCAAAGTATTCCATATGACCTGTCCAATATATTCAAAGTCTAAACCGATTATGTTCCCAATCTATTACTCCCTGAGAATCTCTGTTAGAGCTAAAATCTTGTTCACCCTTGCAGTGTTTAAAAAAAAAAAATCTCCAAATTCTGTGTTTTCAGATTAACTTTTTTTCTGGGTTACATGTTAATGGTTTAATTAATTTTTAATAATAAAAAAAGGATAATCAACTAGGGATGTAACGATTCACTCAACTCACAATTCAATTCACGGTTTTGATTTCACGATTTGATTCGATTCAACCTTTTTTTTTACAAAATGAGATTTAAGACAAATTATACATTAAATGTGTCCTTTTATTATTGCTTGGACAAAATGCTGCACATTTCTTTGTGAAATTGAAATATAACACTATAATATACTAATATAGCACTTGCATATTATTGCTCTTTTGTTGGTTTTGATTGCTTCTATTGTCCTCATTTGTAAGTCGCGTTGGATAAAAACGTCTGCTAAATAACAAAATTTAAGTATAATGTAAATTAGGGTTGCACGATAAATCGCATGCGATATTTAATGCGCATCTTGTCAGAAAGCCGGTTCTGTAATCAGCGGTAAATCTCCATCACATGCGTGCTTTCACATGGAGCAGCATTAGCTACACAGAGCCATTGTTCACTGACGAGCTGCGCAAAAAATTGCGTGAATATGAAAGTGGTTTTGCGCAGCTCATCAGTGAACAACGGCTCTGTGTAGCTAATGCTGCTCAATAGGGCCTTTCGCACCGCTTTAGTTCCAGAACTAAATGTACAGTACTAAATTACTGGGTCGATTTTGCGCGAACTATTTCCCAGTACCATTTAAAGGGTTGCATTCGCACCGAGAGTGTGTACTAAGAAGTGACGCAAGCCGGTCGACAGCGTCGTCATTTGTGCGC